CAACACACACAAATAAATGCAAGCCCAGAAACTGCTTAAAATCTTTTCCTAATCAGCAGCCAATCTTCAAAGCAAACACCGTATTTCTTTAATCTTTACACTCATTTAAAGCTGTTTATGATCACTGCCCGGAATTCCTCTTCATCAATTTATTTTAAATCTTATCGCTCTGTCTTCTGCCTCTTAAACTAAAATTACCTTATTGGCATCTTTAACAACAACTTTCCCCATCTCTGCATCAGGTGTTTACCCTCATCCTCCTTGATTGCTAACCATCCTCGACAACCAGCTGCGTCTCTTCTCCACTTCATTTGTATGAGTGTCTTTTGTTTTGTTTCTTTTTTCTATCCCTACTTTCACCTTCAATCATATAGTCATATAATGTAAAAAAAACCCTTCTAATCCACAATACAATTATCCCATAACACTCCATGTTCTTCCGGCTCTTTGCATTCTCACAGGAACCTCATCTACAAATGTAGCCTCTATTTTTATGCTGAAACCCACCTCCCACTTAGGATTATCTCCTGCCACCACCACCAGGTCTCAGCATCTTCCCAGGAGCTCATCTCAACGTGCAGCAGCCAGGTCAAGGGCAGAGCTCTCAATGCCCTCTCCCACACAAAAGCTCTCTCRTAATTAGCAGCTTTCTTACAATCCACCTCCTACCCATTTAGCTCCCTAACCTAAARAAATTTGGTCCCATTTTTTCCATCTCCAGTTTGGATAAACCTCTCTGACTCGTCCTACAGAATAYATAACAGTGCAGCCTTCCCAGGCCATCCTCACAAGTCCCAGACAGACTCTTACCATCTTTCACCTCAATTATTTAAACACTTTCCACCTGGCCTAGAACAACAACAACAAAACAAGCAAGCAAACCCACAGCAGTTTTACCTGGCCATATTTATGCAGAACAGCAGCCCGAAGGACATTTAAGCTTACTAACTGAACCTTGCCCTTGAGGGGAAAGGAAGCAGGTGTTTCTTCCATTCAGTTATTTATCCCACCGCACTACCAGCATGAGATGTTTCTTTCCAGAAAACAGCAAACCATCTGTTGGCCCTTCTAGGAGGTTGTTCAGAGGGGGAAACTTCTCCTTAGGCCCTCCTAAGCCTATGTGAGAAAACTTAATCTTCTGATGCTTTTATGTTCCTCAGTCTAACAGTCTAGCCCCTCCTCTAACTTCTCTGCTCACTTCTGTTTTCAGGAGCGCTGCTGAACCCTGCTTGTCGCAGGCTGTATYGGGACGCCGCCTTCAACCGCTGACCAGGGAGCAGCAGCCGCTCCATCGCTTAGGGCTGGCCACCAGGGAAGCGCCCGCACGCCCCTTCCTACAGCACGGGGGCATTTCTGCTAAACACTCCTCTTTATCACAACATCTATAAAGAAACTTGGCATCAGCCATGCTACCAGTGCACTGAARTTACATATGCTGACCATCACAGGCTTATTTCCTTTGTAGCCCTCCGGTTCCTCTTGTCCTACTTGTAGCCTGAGCCAACTCCAAGAGGGATCCATTTGCCAGATCCAACGCATGAAYAGCGCTACCCATAAAACAAACAAACAGAACAGGCTCATCCATGTGCCAGGGAGCTCCTAACCATAGGTCCTCCCACTACTGTTTCCTCCCTTTCTAGCAACTGAAGAGTGGAAGGCTGTTCCAGTAAGTGGAAAACACTTTGAAGATTGATAAAGAAGTTGGCTCTCCATTACCAACACAACCCAGCTTGGACTGACTTGGAAGGCAGTTCAAGAATCCCCACTGCATCCCGGGATAGTAAGTAAAGACTCTCCTGCATCCAACAGGGTTCCCAAACTCTAGAAGGGGGTCTGCAGTTCAAGAATTACTCATTTGGAGGCAGAGAGTGAAAAATATGACTGTGATATTAGGAAAGACTTCTTTTATAGGTAAATATTAACTAAAAMTAACTGAAGTGAGCAAAGTTAAAGCATGTTACAAAATTGCAACTTCAAGAGTACCTCTCCTCTTTGGGATACTCACTCTGCTGCAGGCACATCTTAGCCTTACTGTAACTGCCATATGGCACATACCCCAATAGGTACTGCATGTTTTCATGGGGAATCTCCTTCCTACTTTAGATCACTGCCTCTTGAACTATAGTGTGTCCTGGAAACCTTAAATTACTAACCTGGCTACAAAAACAAATGTTTTAGTTGATGAGCACAAGTGAAGCATGACAGTTTTGGTTTTGAAGCCTGAGATCCTGATTAAAGTTTACTGTCATGSAAGGAGATTACAAAGTGCACAACATTTCTTTACCATTCAGAGAATGAAGAAAGTGTACCACAACAAGTAACTTCTATATGTCTGCTCTCTATCATCGGACAGTTTACAATGCAAACCATAATTCTGGCTGAATTATATTTCCTTACGGAATTTGAAATGTTCAAGGTGAGCATAGAAGCAATAAATATTAAAAAAAAWGAAATAACCACATTAAGACTTCCAAATTTCTCAACAGCAAGAACACCATTCAAGCAGGAAAGTGAATTTCATTTTGCCCAATCACACCAAGTTCCTATAAACACCAATTCCCAGCTCTACAACAGATCATTTTCCAAGACTAAAGGAAAAAAGAAAGTTCAAGTTAATGATACAACTAGACCCAAGCAGCAAAACTGCGTAATAAAAATAAATAAGACTGCTCTTTCCCTGAGAAAAAGCTGAATCATTAATTTGTAGTAGCTGCTGAACAACATCTAACCATATTTCAAATGGCCTATTTAGAATAACGATTTTAACCAGAAATGAGTCTCTCCTTGGAGTGCTGGAGCTGATCTCTGCCAGAACAGTAAGAGTAATCTTGTGGAGTAAGAATAATCTTCTGCCCTGGAGACACCCAACAGGAGCAGTTCAGCAGCTATCCCACCTCCCCAGAGTGGGGATTGGATGGAGACTGCTCCCAGCAGAGAACTGGTGGGATTGTCCAGGTCTAGCCTCCTTCTGTTGGCCCTATCCTTTAAGCATTTGCCAAAAACCATCACCTGATCTTCCTGCCCACAGCCCCTTACGTGTGTCATGACTGCACACACCCGCAAGTGTCTCTGTTCCAACCTCACCAGACTAGAGACTGAAAGGATTTAGACCTTCCCTCTGGCACCAGCCTGTCTCCTACCAGGTTCTCGGCACCACCTTCCATCCTCCACCACAGCTTAAGACCATAGATTTTCTGAAGCTCCATCATCATCCGTTCCACAAGGAGCAAGCTGGAAACAAGCTGCAGGGCTACACGGGGAAGGCAAATGATGTTCAGACACCAGCAAAAAGCAGGASATTGTGCCAGGACCCTACAGGTAGGGACTTAAACCACATTTGTCTCCCATTGCCACCAAGAGCACCCAGCTTCAGAGTTCAGAGCAAGAGTATCCCGTTGCCTCCCGTGAGCCACCGAGCACTACAGCTAAATTCTGGTTGCAGGTCCTTGAACAAGTGCCAGGACGTCGTGGAGCTRCAAAGGTGCTGCTCAGCCCGACGTGGCGGCAGAGGATGCTGTTCTCGAACCTCCTCGCTAAACCCCTCGTTAGGTCTGCAACGAGCACGACCGATACTGCAGAATCACAATCCCCACCCACAGAGCCGAGCTTAGGGACAAAAGCCAGAAATATTGATCAGCAAGAGTACAGTCGCACATGTGTTTTTAAGTATACTAAGCTAATCTGATACAGGTCCTCAAGGACTTAAAGATACACTGGTTTAAAAGAACCCRTTTTACTTTGATTAGAAGATACCAGCAACACGCAGAAAGCCATAGCTCAGATCAGACAGRGCAATTTGTACTGGCCCAAAACTGCCTTTTACATCACCTGGCTCGCACTGAAATTCAGCTGCCTCTTATTCCTAACGTGCAATCAAATTTACATATTCAGAAAATGATTAGACTTGCTTTTGCATGTAGGACCCCTAAAAGTTCTCAAGTTTCATGTAATTTATCTCAGGATTACAAACTATTCTTCATATTAAAATGATTCCTTTAAAAGCAAAACAGAGCTCAGACTTGATAAAAGCCTTGCTATATCTCTGGGGGGGAGAAAAAAAAAGAATGATGAAGTAGTAAAAAGAAAAGGCGCAGAAGAGGAAGAGGAGGAATATTACCTCTGAGGAGAGAGGAGTCAGAGTAGAAACACACTACATGGTTTAAGGGGAAGTGATAACATGTAGGAGACGCTGGAAAGGAAGTGAAGAGAACACAGCAGGAAGCAACAGACCATGCCCATGATCTAGCAAGGTCAGGAAGAAACGAATGGTACAGCCCTGTCTACCGTGGCACAGCAAAGGTGCCCCAGCCCAGCTGAACGCAAACCTGTTTTTTGGAGGTTTGCAGATGATGCTTCTTGCTCCCACCAAGAGCAACTCTACCCCTCCTCTGGCCAGTTTGCCCTGCCTAKGCCCTGACACCATCAGGGACCCAGGAAGAAGCTCTTGCCACAGGGAATGTGGAGGAAAGAGCCCAAGTGGCTTTTGCAAAGCTCCTCTCCTCAGCTGCRGGAAGTTGGTACTTGCAGCAGAGCATCCACTGTTGCTAGTAACTTTGAGAATAAGCAAACCAATTACTTCTCCAAGCTTGTCCTGCTAAGTTACTGAATAACCTTGCTAAAAACTAAACAGAAAAGGAGCTTGTTTTTTCCTACTCCCTCCTGCACATTGTTAAATGGTAGATTACAATTTAAGAGGTGATTTTAGAAAACAATTTATCCAGYTGTTTTCATTTCGACAAAACTCTTGAAAAATGTTTCAAGTTTTTTTTTATTATACCAAAAACATGAGCAACATTACTGTTGTTCATACTACAGGATGTTTGCCACAGAAAACATCCAGCAACCCCAAACAACTGAGTTTGGCAGAGCCCAAAAAGCAATCTGGCTTCYACACATGTATGGACAGGTATGGTTTCAGCTCCTAACTTAACTTTCACTTAGAGACAGAGAGATAAACAGGAATATTGAGGTAACACACACGCAAAAAGCAAYTGACTCACCACAGTCCTCTGCTTGTTGGGGAGGAAGACTCTGACAATAGGCTTCTGTGGAGACTTTGGGTTATTCCKTGACATATCAGTGGGGTTTTGATAAACTGAAAGGGATGAAGGTGCTACGGAGAGGCTAGAGGAGGAAGATGATGCAACCGTGTCTGTTGAAGCCGAACTGGAGACAGAGAAATCAGTTCCGTTCCCCATGGACTCCAGTAACTGCTGTTCCCTCTGTTGTAGGGCATCTAGTTTGCTGGTATACTCTTCATAGGCCTGGGAAGGGAGAAAAACTATTTTAATGACGTAAAAACTTCTTTTTTTTTTTTTTTTTCCTAAATCTAAATTCAGAATGAACATACACAAAAAAAATCAGAAGCTAATTCAAGTTTTTCACAAATACCAAATTCAGTTGTTTGTCTTTTTTTCGACAGAAGAGAAACGAAGTAGTGACTTTGAACTCAATATGTTAAACCCCCTCAATTGACAACTAATTTTTCAGTTAATAGGGATTAAAAATAAAGAAAACATAAACCAGTTTGAAAACACCTGCACTAATGTCTAATTCAACACTTCAAAAAAAAAAAAAAACAGCAGCAATCCTTACCATATGTTTTTCACCTACACTCCTGAATTCTTAGGCTACAGCTAGATTTATCATTCTCGTGGAACCACGGCTAAATACATCCAATGCAACAAATAAGAGAAAGCAGAAACTTGTACTTCTTAGCATCTGTAGCTGACAACCCAACTCACTGTTCATGAGCCCCCACTTCTACCACTCTGCCAGCACTCCAGACACTACACAAAACTTTACTTCAGTTTGTAACAGAGCACAACCAGGTTTGTTCTAAGTCACACAAAAATACACTGAAAAGATCATGTGGAAGGGTTTCATATTTGAGATTAATTTGATTTTTTACCAACTAAAGGTTACACAAATCACAGTTCCAGAGCTCCTTCACAAATCAACTCTGGTAACACTATCTTCCCTATAAAGTCCAGTCCCTATCTATAGTCAAGAAAAAGTTCAAACACAGAGGCAAGTTCCAGAATACAAACAGACAATCTATACATTTTGATTTGAAGTTTCTTTCCAACAACACATCTTTATTTGTATCAAGAACATTTAATTCTAGATGCAGAAAGATTAGCAGCATTCATACGGGTTGGGAAAATCTTCCAAGCCTGAATTAAGGAGCCTGTTTTTCAGGCTACCTCAGCATTACTAGGCTCCCCCAAAAGATTGGGATCTGTGACATGCTACATGCCTTTTGAATAATAACAATAATTAAAAAAAACAGCAAGGAAAGGGACATTTATTTACTTGCCAAGTAACTGAGGATTGTCCCTTYCATTTTTCCAGCGGGTTAGCAATTCTCCCAGGATGGACATATGCTACAAATGTGTGTCAAGAACACAATTTGAGCACCGACGTCAGTCCTCACAGTAGGGAATGAGGCAGAAATAACATTGTAGATGGTAGGTGGTCGTGATAAACATCACTGAGTTTCAGACTGCATATTTTGTGTGTTCGTTCTTTAATRAAAGGACATAACTTGCAGAAAACTAAGAACTTATTAGCATTTCTTTTAAAAACTGAAAAAGTCTCATGTTTCATGAACTAGCCCTCAAGCTGACTGCACTAAAACCAAAACATTTTCACTCTAGTATAATTCYAGTGTCAGAAGTGAATAATTTATATATCAGTTCTAAATAATGGCACAATTTGGCTGTACAGTAACACAAGTGCCTCCTACTTCCAGGAACAACTTTCATGTAAATTCCAGTAAGAGATCCCTGTGTCAAGAACTATTTTCTGTAAACAAATGGTAAGAATCATAAGCTGTTACCATTTCACCAAGGCTTTTCTAAATACTTACTTCCTTTTCTCATGAACATTGCAAAATATTATTTGTGCACGAGCAACATTACATTGCTTCAGGATACTTGCGGGCTTAGTTCCTTCATGAAGYTACACACATCTTTCAAAATACTCAATCCTACAGTGTTTACGCTGGCAGCTTAACCTGTCACTAACACAAACTCAAAGCCAAATGACTTCTCTTAAGAGCACAAGCAGCAAGCACGAAAAGTTGGGAGCTGTTGCTAACTGGGGATATTTTCCCACTAAATTCAGCATAAACCCCTCAATTTTTAATGGAGATTGGAGCTCTTAAATGTTACGCTGCTGCTCAATGCGATTATAGAGGATGCGGTAATAAAACATTTTGAAACCAGAATCGTGACTAGACTTTAAATATGTTTTTTATTTAAAAAAATCAAATTATTCTTTTTCTACAGAAGGAGCTATAGTTTATGCAGCAGAAATTGCATAGCTGTGCTGAAGTCTTACTTCAGAAAGATTAAGTACTTTGGTGAGACATGAATTTCAGTTGATAACCAACACACATAGCCCTTCACCCTTAACACAATAACTGCCAAAACATCGAATTATAACATAGAGTTAAAATTTAGACTATTACAACAGCAAAGCTGTCCTGTAGTGAAGTATTTTTAGCTAACAGATTATGCCACAGGGCTGGCCAGGCTACAAGGGAGCCCTGCAGTGTGGCTCTATTAGTAGCTAGATATCAATGGCCCCAAAAACCTTTTGGTCTGCAAAGACTCTTGGCTAAACACTCCTTTTATTAGTTTTTCAAAATAAAATGACATTAAATAACTTTCTATCCACAACATGATAAAGATTTAACTGAATATCAATCTCTCTCAATGCAGTGCATGAAATTAGAAGATTTTAAGGGTGTTTCCAGAGTAGATACAGCACTAGCCCAATTTCCTACTAAATAAACATAGGGATCATTTCTAAGCTCGATGAGGCTGGCCACGGCCTCATGAAAGGAAGTTTGGGAAACGTGAATGGAAGGAGATTCCACAGCRTCCATGCAGCCCGTGGTGGGACCGAGGCCCCTGCAGCGGGGCCGAGCRAGGCGGTTCGGCCGCCTTTCCCTCCGGAAATCCCGGCCGGCATCCCGGCCTGCGCTCCAGGAAGGGGCATTCCCAGCCCCGGGGCAGCTCCACGCGAGCCGCATTCCTGCTCCTCCAGCTTGCTTATTCATGGCTACCAATACCCTGCCTGTACTCGGAGCGGCCTCGCCAAGGCCGTTTGCTCCCGCTGTCCCCACAGGGCTCCGGGTCGCGAGCGGCTGCCACGCTAACACAGCRCGTACGCACGCCCTGATGCGGCTGCTACCCACGCACAGGCACGAGAGCTCAGAGAAAGTCACCTCTTAAGTGCTGCAGCCTAGCGACAAAATAAAAGCTGTTCGCAGAAATAACAACAATTGCATGAGCTTACAGCAGAGTGCCAATAGAGCTCTGCTGAGATGATGGTAATAGGTATTTTTAAGAATATCTGCATTTCTGTATTATAAATTATTTATATTCAATTGGAGATTTGTTTTCTTGTACCATAACTAAGCTATACATTCTATTAATAACATTCAGAAAGCCAGAAGCAAATGAAGCAGCTTAAAAACCAACCGAACAAAAAACTCCCTGAATTAAATCAAACAGCAAAAGTGTCACCTCTCACTCTTTTTCTCTGCTCCCAACAACCTTTGGTGAGAAACGAGGCCTGATCTCAAGCAGACCAAATAGTTTTGTCACGATCTCCCCTCTACCTTTGCTCAAGAATTTTTTTGGATAATGCCCATATATTGCAAAGCTCTYAAAAACCTAAAAAGTTCCCTGGTCTTTTAAGTTGAGATTGTGTTTCCATTTAAAAGATGCCTGACCCTTCGGTGTGCTGATCAAATGCAAATCCCACTAAGTTAAAGGGGTTAAACTGAAGAAAGCCAGTACAGTAAATTAGCATTTCTTCATTTAGCAAGGCTCCTTTCATTTAGCAATGCCCAACTTTGGACATTCTAGTTTTGGTCCAACACACTTAGCATCTCTTACAAGTCTGGTTAAAAACAACAATAATCTGCATCTTTAGCTTTTTACAACACCCAGTGAATTTCCCAGCACCTGTACCTAGATTTACTATTTCCTGGGAGTCCCAAGAGCAGCTTGAGACACTCTGAGAGTCCAGCCTGAAGATGCGCTTGGGACTTGGCTTGCGGGCCGCCACGGCACGCTCGCCTTAGAGCCACAAGCAGGGCAGCGTCTTTAACCAACCTGTCCTGCTGCACGAGGTCTTCAGCCCCACAGGAACGGGCAATTAAACACCCTCCTCGAGCCTCCCAAATACAGAAAGAGCAAGGCTTTCCAACTAGACAAGTTTAAGAGTCCCAGAAAAGAGAAAGCTAGAAAATTATACTAGTTAGACACAAACCCATTTATATCCTCACTGTTCTTATCTTAGATTGCTTCCAACGAGAGACCAGGAAAGATAATGATTCCTTCCAGACTCCTAAAAAGCAAACCGAGTTGTGTAACTCATTTTAATATACCACTGTCATTCTGCCTCATATACATGTATACATTTGTATATTATTTCATTTTGCTGAGACTCTGCATAGAAACGCCGGAGAGCTCRCTCGTTGTTCCTGCTGTCCGCAGCACCCAAGCTACAGGTGGCACAAGGAAGCACGCACCAGGCCCAGACCTGCTTACATCCCGACACACTACCGCTGCTAAGGAAGCTCTCGTGGAGGGAGGGCTCAGAGATAATCCTCTACTCACCTACTGCATGGGAGGGACACACAACACATTTTGGAAAATTAAAGAGATCAGGCTTCGTGCTTGAGCCTTTGAGTAAGAGCCTAGAAGGGTTAACAAATCTGATTATGTTATTTAAGTATGACCTCTCCTTTAAAAGTTTGAGCTGACTGCTTTTGACCTGTCTAGATCCGTAAAATCCTTTTCCAGCTTGTAACAGCATTGGCTCCCAATGCTAAAATCAAATACACAAATGCATTGTCCTTTCCCTAACTCAAGTTAAATTTTTCATCAATGCCTAGTTGGTAGAGACGTAAAGGTTTAATTCTGATGGCCCCTAAAGAAGAATACTCAACTGCAGTTTTATAACTGTTCTCACTTACTAAATTCCAGGTTTTCCCAGTATCATAATCCTGTGCTTTCTTGCAATAAAGTTCTCCCACATTTAGAATGCTTAGACAAATCTTTAAGAAAAGGGGTTTTCCACAATGAATCACAAACTGTGTGTTTTTGAAAACAGCACTTCAGGGACAGCTATAATGTATGGAGGAATTAATGTGGGAAGACAAAAGTCACTGACGTTTTCAGCTGCTGTGATATACAATGCTGCCAAAAGGCATGTTAAAAAAATCAAACAGAAAAAAAAAGAAAAGAAAAAGAAAAAATACTGCATATTCTCTTTTAAAGGAAAAGGGAAAACAAACAAACAAGAACTATTACTGATATTTCTGGATCTGTTGAGTCAACAAGTCATTTCAAGTATCTGACACTGATTTCCAGRGGCGCCTTAGATCTGAGATGCCGCCTCTCGCGCAGAGGCTGGAAGCTCAGCTGCAGCACAGAAGCCATATTTAGATTTACTACAGCAGACACGCTGCGTTAGCTATTTCTTCTAGTCTGGATAAACACAAAAGGCTCTATTGCAATCATATTAGAGAATCTTGATAGATCTCCAAGGCCATTACTACTTGCAATCATTAAAAAATATGGTTAATAGTACTTCTTTCTTCTATTCATCTAATTTCTAGCCCTGCTGTCTCCTACACATACTCACAAGTTTCTCCGCAGCTCAGTTTTCTTTCATCAAYCCTTGTTTTTCTGTCCTGAGGGAGGCAAGTTAGACTCTATCACAAAGTTTCACACTATTTTYCCCCCACTAGACACTAGCAGCCAGCACAGGCTTTCAAGGCCCTATTGCAGGTGCCACCTACAGCCACCTCYAACACCGTCATCGAGGAGGGGCAGATCAGGGCAGGGAGACACCCTTGCATCAGGGCACGCCATCCCATACAGTAATGCAACATACAGTACGTACACCGGAGTGCAACTCGGTTACATTTGCTATTTCAAGAAGCCCCTTCCTCCTTCACRGGCAGTTGCTGCATCCTGCAGTGCTGGCTGCACCCCCAGCTGTTGGTACTAACCTTCCTCTGGGGCAAAACCTCTCCAGCCTGCTCTTAGACTTGAATAGAAAACTCTTTCGCTTTTGTTTTCACTGCCTCAGAGGAGCGCAGAAACAAAAGCTGGCTGGCTTCTATTTCCWAGGCGCGAACTCATCTTCTATTATTAAAATCATATATCGTATATTCACTACAAAACAATTTCTGCAAATGCTCTGAATGCTCGATTCTCAGAATTAATTTCGTTGTTCAATCCTTCAGCTTTCCTATGATGTGAAGTGTTTTTTATAGATGTATCTTTGTTTTTACCCTTTTTAAATGAAATGATGTTTTACTACTAGCTTCAACCACAACTTTACAAGACCTGTCTACGGAGGCACTTCCATCATAGGCCAGGAATCAATGTACTGGATACTATCCATTCTGTGAACCTAAGTGTAAGACACGTAGGAAACAAGAGATACAAAGCCAGACAAAGAGTACAAGAGAACTGAACAAATCCTATTATAGGGAAAAGTCTACACAGGAGGAAGATGGACAGCTGCCAAGCTTTCTGCAGGCATCAGAAAGCCATGGTTTTGCAGAAAGTGCTACAAAAGTAAAGCAGATGTTTACCACAGTGAAAGGTGAAGGCAAAAGTGTTCATTTGCTGGTATTTATCTAGCCATTAGCTATGTGTAACTCCATCTCTTGCTAGCAGCAGCAGACAGCAGGCTTGCCCATAACACTCACAGGGTGATCAACATGCACAATCCAGAGAAGTCCTTAAAGGCATCTCACATTTCAGGAAAGATAGAAAAGGCACCACAGCAGYGGAAAGAAACCCAGGGAATGGTGACATGGCCCAATCATGAACTAGCAAAACAGACCCTGCAGCAGAGGCTCATAAAGGCAGTTCAACACTGCCCCTGTCCTCCTGCCACCGCCAGGAATGAGACTTGAACAAAACCCTGAAAAATAAAGAGGAGGAGGTTGGATGGAGCTTAAAGTTACCTTGCCTTGCGGTTCAGGCACACGGTGGGGATGCTACACACACCGTGAAGTGTCAAAACCCTGATATAAACCAGGTGAGCGGCCCCAGGGCAGCACAGAAGTGGGTGATGCTGCTCGGGCACAGAGCTCAAGCAGCSGGTTCAGCGCTTCACCCACAGCCCTCTCCAAGGGCAGCTGCTCCCATCAGAGGGCACAAGCAAAGGGTATCAAACGGCCCGAGTCACCAGATGCACCCTGCATCACTTCACSTTCTTCCTATTCATGGCAAAGAATTAGTTTCACGTGTGTCTTCTAGAAGCAAACATGCTCCTCTCCCTCACCTTCCACCACTACTTTTTACATACCGCTTGGTCCTTCCAAACCTGTAACCARGTTTGTTCTGGCTCCTTTCCTGTCAGGAAAGAGGGGGAAGAAAGRCGACCCACTCGCTCTAGCACTAGCAGATGAGATTCAGCTACGTTGCTGCAAAGCAGGCTCCCACAAGAGAAAGCTACTGATGCTCTTGGCCAAGCCAAAAAGCAGCCAAAGYGGTGGGGAGGGCTGAGAGGGGACATGGCAGACAACTGTGCTGGGTTAAAAATAAAGATAATGAAAAGAAAAATCAAGAGTCAAGGGAAGACAGCAGTCTTGCTTCTTAAGTCCTGCTCCAAGAAATTACACACCTAAATGACTGTTTTGCAGCATCAAATCCTAAGGACTCCATCAGTCCATCTCAGTGTAGTTACATTCAGGCTAAAGACCACCCAAAAGGGAAGGACCTTTTCCCTCACCCCACTTTCTAGGCTCTTAGCTCCCAGCTGCAAACTCTTCYCCTTCCCTTGTCTTGGCCTCAGCTCTGTGGCTCTCCGATCTTCATCACGACCAAGTTCAACGTCCTAGCCAGAGGGCAAACTAGTCCAACAAAAGAGTATTTTTCTTATGGATTAAGGGATCCAAGTGGCTTAGCCAGCACTGGTGCTACAAAYACCATAGTAAAGGAAGTAAAGAAGCAAAGAGGTGAGAAAAACCATGACTTTTCTTTTCAGTGAAGGAGATCTCTTTCTTACAGGTCTCACCAGGTTCTCACAGGTCTCATGGAATAATTAAATAAAAAGAAAAAAGCAGAAAAGGAGAATCCAAGTCCCTCCTCCTTCCTGTGTGGCTGCCACCTAGGCTGTACAGCACCAGCTGCCGTGAAAGGGGCTTCAAGACGCAGAGAACTCCCTGCTGCGGGTGCCAGGGACTGCCCTGTTGCTCCTGCAGCACCCACAGAGCTCGGTCTCAGCCGAGCTCTGATCTCTCCAGCTCATGGCTCTGCTCTATGCTTGATGTCCTTGTAGAATCATAGAATGCTTAAGGTTGGAAGGGATCTCCTGAGGTCATCTAATCCAACCCCCCGGCACACGCAGGGTCACCTAGAGCACCTGGCAGAGGGCAAAATGGTCACTGACCAATTCAAACCTCAGCTCCTTATTCCATTTAAACCATATCCTAGTGCATGTTTTCCACCATAAATGCCCTCTTTCCTGTCAGTGAGCTTCACAGTAACCTAAAGGCTTCCCACGTAGAGATAAGTTTTAATTTTGATACAAACAAGTGACAAATGGTTGTAATGAGCTAACAGTTTCTGAAACCATTTTATACTTTAAATCCAAACTTAGAAAAAAAATAAGCTCATTATTACCGTATTATGATACACAATCTAATAAAACCAACATACTTATGGTGATATGAAGTAGAGAGGTACGAAAGGTATCAGCTCACATGTAAACAAAGGTGTGTCTGCATGCCACTGAGYGGCTAAAATAGTGATTAGTGCTCACTTAATATCTCCCTTCTACACCACCAAAAGTTAAGCAACTATGGAGGGCCTCCTTTGTCCTTAACAGTTAAGGATATTATGTCAACATTTGTTGAATCAAGCTAGTGCCCTAGCTAACATATTAAGATATAAGCTAGAAGTACCTCAACTAATAATATCTATTTATAACTGCCTAGTGCGTTAGGCTACTACTAAAAAGACTGAAAAAGARTCCGATTGACCTGCAGTTATTTCTATACTTCAAGGGGCGAAGAAAAGGTCAGGGTTTGGATCAAGCTGATATCAATTTAATTCCTAACAGTTGTAACTTATGGTCCTTTAATATGCCCATAATGACCCTGTGTCAATGCAATTTCACAAACCCAGAACGATGGAAGAATTAAAAGGATTTATGAGTTGACAACTAATTTAGCTTTAAATGTGACTCTCCTTTTTATTACTTTGCATTTTTACAAGTTTGTCAGAAAGGTCCCTTCTCCCTAAAACAACTGCTAGATTCTATGTGAATGTTTTTTTCTCCCACTGGAAAAAAAAGTAGTCACCTGCTATAAGRGCAAATTTAGCCTTAGAGATGTTTTCATTCACACATATTAAACAAACACATACCTAAGAATTTACATTCACGTACAGAAATACAGCATGCATTTTTGTATTATACAATTCTTTTATACACGACCTCTGTATTACACACCACCTTTTGCCCCTTCAACACAAAGGATGGAAGAGAGCAGCAAATTAAGTGCTGCCCATTTCCACTGCACACACCTAAGTACAAGAACGTGCCACTGATCCTCCCCAGTTGATGTGTACATTGCAGTCCTGCACAGTCGTTTTCTGTCTTCAGGGAAAAATGCTACACCTCTAACACAAGGAATATATACTCTAACTATATGTACTGTCAGCTTTAACATTGTGTTCTTTTAGGTAGTGCTAACAAAGCATACAAGCAATCCAACCACATGCATTTGAAAGCAGACTTACCTCTAAGTATATTGATGGTGGGTTATGCTCTCCTCCAAACTTGTCTAGCAGTGCTTCTATATGTTCTTGTGTTAATTTAATCATCTGCTTGATATTCCACACCTAAATCAAAAAATAAATATATTTTTGTAATCACAAGAAGCCCRTCCTACAACAAAATTAATTACATTTTCTAGACAAGCTTTAATACGTGAATTCCATAATAAAAATATTTCAGTATCAGTAAAAGTGTGCAGAGTTTCCAYTGTTAGTAACACATAGGTTTCTTCAGAGCTAAACGGAAAAGTTCAATTTGGTTTTGAAATTCTGTAGCCATTGAGTAAACAGTCTTTTAATAGATATTAAAAATACGCTTTTAAAAAATGCATCAGGACTTCTTCTGGAGAGACTCTGCAACCTGATTTCTACAATTACTTCAAAGTTTAATGAAGGACTTCTATCCAACCGTGAACATCTGTGGCAAACTAGTCAACAACATCCACATCATCCCCATCTCATCCATTGATATGGTAATGGCATGCAATGATCTTCAGCAGTTTCTATACCTTGGGTTCTATGCTCCTTTCCCTTACAAGTTTTCTTACAGACCTTGCACATGATCTGAAAGTGGCATTAACTTCGACAGCACAGAGAAGACTTACAGCATTGTATCAGGAAACAAGGGAGCTATTCTTCACAGTAGCTTGAAAGAGTCAATTTGAGTAATTTGACACTATTGTAGGTGAACAGTATTATGAGTCCTAATTTACAACTCAAAAGACATCGATTCACAAATTCAAATCACTTAAAATAATAATACTGCACTGATGCAAGAAACTGTGTTAGTCCAATCAAAGTCAGAAGTTTAAAAGGGATGTAAATAGGAAGCACAGAAGGAGGCAGGAAAATCTCTTCTTAACAGGTATTCTTATTCACAGAGTTTGTGAGGAAAAACTGATTGTCAGAGTTATTAAATCTAGGATGGGAAAAATAGAGCATGCTTCTTCAAAAAGGTTTTTGAGAATTCCTGTTACCTCCTTTRGTTTACTTTGTAACTATTTCATGCATTATCATACAAACCCATTTTTGAAGCTCTGTAAAAGTTGGTACAATTTCTCTCTTAAAAGAGAGGTGACAAATAACAGAGGATCTAATCCCATCTGGAAAACAGCCTTAGCATAAAAACTGCAGAAGCATCTCAAGATCAATTTTAGGAAGAAGGTTTCATTAGGATTTATTGCAATCTTTATCACTGGGTCATTCAAGCAAATTTACCCATCAGAAAGATTTCCAGGGAAGGGTCCACACGTGCGTATCTGACTAGCAGGAGTGAGAGAAGATGCTTTGCTGAATCACCTCTATTTCCAATTAATTTTCTTTTTCTCTCCAAGACAAGTGACTAAATTCTTTGTTACTGGACTATTGCCTGGTTTTCATCCGTAACCACAACTTTGCTTGTTAGAAACAGACATAAAACTAAACAAACACAACATGCAGAACAGCACAACAGCACCATGCAATTCCAGAGATGGTAGAAAGAGAATAAAAGAGCAGTCTGCAAAATTCATATCATGGCAAGAGAAAAAGCAACTTTTGCATCTTAGAGTTTTTTCATAAGCGAATCCTGCAGAAAATTTGACATAGGTTTCTATTGTTTTAGAAAGGATATTCACACACTGAAGCAGTACACTGAAGACAAAGAAACTCTAAGTCAACCACAGCAGCAGCAAATTGGTATTAATTAAAAAGAGAAATAGAAAAAAAAAGTTTTAAAAAAGATTATCTCATTTTCCATAAATATTTTATGTGTGTATAAATACATACACACACACACACACACACACAAATATATCTATATACAAAATGTATTCCAGACGAGCAGGAAAGCACTAACACCAGAGAGAGCAAAACTGTTAAGAACATAGTGTTTAACAAACAGCTCTGGACTAAAGAGTCTTCTTCTAGAAGCCACAAATTAAAAAAAAAAAAAAAATTATATTCACATTATTCTCACTTTCTCTAGAACTAGAAGAAAACCGCAGAAGCCTCCTGGGCTTTTAGCAAGGTAGGGACCTTTTTCCCCCTCATTATTTTGTAGGTGCTGTCCTAAGCGCGCTGCTCTTGCAGTGGAGCTGCACTTGTATGAAACTTTATGGTCACCACTGCCAGGTATCTTGCAGAGAGACCAAACCCAGGGACCACCAGCTGCTGGTGACAGCAATGGGTGCTGGAATGGAACTGCATCTTAACCAGTATTCTCCATACTCAAATCCTGCCATTTTCCATGGAAAACAGCATGTCTTGAGACTATAATGCTTTATTCAATTCCCACAGAAAAAAAGTAGTCAGTCCTTTGCATCTGGGAAGACCTTACCCATTTTTAAAAAGGTTTCACTGAAGAAGTTATTCTGTTTTATCTGATGGCATTAGGTTAAGGCTGTTCTCTGAAACAAGAGGTTAAATATGATCCTCCTTTCAATGCTTCTGGAGCAAGGAATATGACACAGGCTAACACGGACACAGATCGCCACACGACTTGAGATAGTCCGGCTATACCAGAATATATCCGGTCATATCTGCACACAGTGGGTAATTGTGCATTAATTTTGCAAATCAGCACTCCCTTGCAATGCAATAAAGACGATGATCTGGTTTAAGCCAGAGGCAAGTGAAATACAGCAGGTGCCTCTATCARTCCTACGCAGTGAAGACCATGGCTCTGCAACTCACAAGACCCCAAACTCCAAAGTAACATCAGCATCGTTCCCTGTTTGTCAAGGACACGCTGCCTGAGGCAGGGCAAAATAAACTTTTTTCACCTGGTTTTATACCCCAAATCATGCAGCACCTTCCAACTTTAAAGCTCTACAACTCACATTGGATGGAATCACTTGCGGAGCTTGACTCTGCTCTAAAAATTCACTAGTTTTCATTATCAAATAGCTCCAAGATGGAGAAGACTTAAATTGAACCAACCAGGTAAAGTAATTTAACAATGTGATTTGGTAACTGCTTTATAAGGAGGAGAAAAAGGGAAACAACAACAACGCAGTATCAATCCAATACTCTTCTAATCAGTCCCTTCAGGCTTTTTTTTCCTCCTTAGATTTGGTCGGCTGAGTTGGCATCCACTTTGTCAGAAAGCACTTGAGCAAGCTGACACACAGGAGCTCTTCCTGGGTTCAGCTCACATTTTATCTAACTGTACCGGAGTGAAAGGGAAGAAAGGCGACCTGTGAACGGGGCTAACAGCACCTCACCCCAGGGTTTGCAGGTCAAGATGCAGGACCTGCRTCTCCCCAGTGTTGCTGCCACAAACAGCTGCCCCAACTTCCTCGTGTTTTGATGCCTTCCCAAATCTCTTCTCTCCTCCACCTTGGATGGGGCTAGTCCTTGACCTGTCCCTTTCCAGCAGCACTTCCATTTTCCRCAGGCCCACACAACAACCCACGTAATTCAGCCATGATGGGCATACTGAGCCCATACAGTGGGAAGGATGCTCCTACCCTCCTTCCCGTCCTTCAGACTACAACTTCACCTCCATCGCTGAAGTACCCCTCAATTCCCACTCCCTCTGCAGTCAGCCTAGCATTTTTCCTAGATCCTACTGACTCCTCATGCTTATCACATTGTCAACAGTGTAGTAAAATTTTGTACCAAGGAAGCATTATGAAAAACACTAACACCTGAAAAACTTCACTGGGCTGAAAACCAGCTTGCAAGAGGCGTCACGTAAGAGTTTACAAAAGTGACATAAACGTCAACATGGAGGCCGCCTCTTCTTCAGTTTCTCTCACCCATCTTTTCATTAACCTTGTCAAATCACTTTCCCACAGCTCCTTTAAAATGTCTGAGCCACAAAGAACGAGAGCACACTCTCACTGTGGCCGGCTACGCAACTCAGAGTGAGTCAGTTGAGTTTTCCACTCACAGGAAAGCAAACAAGTTCCACACASCAGCACATACAGAAGTTACTGCAAGCAAGGGAAAGGGAGAGGAAGGATCTCTTTCCACAGAAGTTTAAAGGCAGCAAACATCCCTTTAGACTGATGATAAAGAACAACTTTGATGAAGATACAGAACAACGGGACCTCAGGAAGAGATACAACTTACACCACACCATCTAGTCTGATGAYTGATGGTAACTAAGTCAGCCAGCGCAGTGATATGACTGGCATTTGACAGCAAATATAAAGMTATGAGAAAGGCCTCAAGATGAAAATTCCCTTGCACTAGCTTTCCTTCTATTTAACAGCTAGCACTTTTAGAAGACAGGCCAATTCTTATCCACCTGTAACTGAAAATGCAGGTTAACTGTCCTGAAAGTGACACTGTTCCCTCTAAGCAAAGAAAAGGCACACAACAACCCAAGTCACAGCACAAGAACAACCCTTCCCTCCAAAAAGCTACGAAACACGGGACAAAGTTAATGCATCATTACATTACATCAGAGTAAGACCTTGTTGGAGGTAACATCAGAAATCCTATTGGCAAAAAAATATGGGAAAGATTAACTCTGGGATTAACTCTGGACTTGTCTCCTTCACCAAAAGATTTTTCCACTGCAAATCTTAGTATTTATGTGAAAACTAAGTTTGAATTTAATATTTTAGGCAACTCAAATTTATTTGCAAGCAATCGCCTTTTCTCTTATTTAAATCTAAAGGCAAAYCAGACTGCTCATCACTGAGCTGTGCCCTTAAAACATAACAAATAACCTTTAGTCTGACTGGTCCTTGCCCCTAGGTTGCCTCCTTTCTAACAAAAGGATTTCACACTTGAAGTGTTCCTTGTTTCTTATAATTACTTCAAAATAGAGAAATAATTTGAAATAGTGTGATAAATCGTCAAGGAAGAAGCATGGTAAAGCTAACCCTTGAAATACAACTCAAGAGATTTCTCTGTATGAAGTTGCCACCAAGCACCTCCGACTGTGGTTCCTTGGTAGCTGGCAAGGACCTACAAGGTGGCTGCAGTCACCATCACACGACACTGGCCACTTTATCCCAGCTCCCTCCCTTGCATGGGCTCCCGAACTCAAGTCTTTGGCTGGAGCTTTTCAGCCAAGTGCTAAAGGAGCAGAAAATTATTCTCTTGGCCAAGGTTATTTTTCTGAC